TAACCTGACCAGGTCTGATTGAAGCCTATTCCTCCCTTCTAGCGTGCCCACTTCTCCCCACATCTTAGTGTCATCTGCAGATTTGAACAGGGTGCTTTCTACCCCCTCGTCCAAGTCACTGATGAAGATGTTGAGCAGTGAGGGCCGGAGGACCGAATCCTGCGGAACCCCACTGCCCACATCCCTCCAGGTCGATTAAGACCTGTACACCACCACTCTCTGGGTGTGGTCCTCCAGCCAATTAGGTGTGTTGCTGGTTCCTTCTCCTTAGATGCAGTACCTTGCACTTGTCTGCATTGAATTCCATGCTATTCTTATCTGCCCACCTCTGTAATTTGTCTAGATCTAGCTGGATTCTGTCCCTCCCCTCCAGCGTGCCCATCTCGCCCCACAACTTGGTGTCATCAGCAGATTTGGACAGCGTGCTTTCCATGTCCAGATTGCTGATAAAGATGTTGAATAGTACAGACCCCAGGACCAAGCCCTGGGTGACTCCACTGCCCACATCCCTCCAGGTCAAAAACAACCCATCCACCACCGCCCTCTGGGTGCGACTGTCTAGCCGATTTGCCACCCATCTGACTGTGTAGGCATCAATGCTGCAGTCACCTAGTTTTTTAAGAGAATGTGATGGGAAAACATGTCAAAGACCTTCTTAAGGTCCAGGAAGATGACATCCACCTCGACACCCTCATCCACAGACTTTGTGATCTGATCATAAAAAGAAACCAGGTTAATTAGGCAGGACCTGCCCTCAATGAACCCATGTTGGTTGACTCTGAGCATTACCTCCCTAGCTGGGCCCTTGCAGCTGTGCCCCTTAATAATTTTCTCAAAGGTCTTCCCAAGGACTGAGGTAAGACTGACTGGGCTATAACTGCCAGGGTCCTCTTTTCTCCCCTTCTTGTAAATGTGGACCACACTGGCCCTTTTCCAATCCTCTGGTACCTGGCCAGTGCCCCACGAATGCTCATAGAGCCATGCCAGGCTTTTTATCCCATTTAAAATGGGATAAAAACAGAGTATAGAAGTTACAAGGTAAGACTTTCAGATGCACTCCGCCTGCTTGAGACTACTCAAAATGGTCAGTGGTAAAACTCCTATGGATATGGATTTCAACTGGGGCAAAATTTTGGCTGATGCCATAGCGTTGTTAAAGGGAGATGTTCATTGACTTGGGAAGATGTAATCTCTTTGCAAAGTCTAAGTTATGTTTAGAAAATGCTTAAACACTGTTTTCCTTAATGAAACCAAGAAACCATGAAAGTTAGTCAACCCTGAATAAATTACCATGTTTTCTCACATGCAACATATTCTGAAGTATAATATGCACCTTGTTTTTTGAATGGCAGAATGAAAGGGGTGGGAAAAAAAACATTTCCAGAGCTGTGGCTGCACAGAGCAGGGACAGAGGCTAATCATCAGATAACTCATTCTCCCTTTCTTGCTTAACTGAAGCTGAAACCCTAGCTGCTGCTGACAACTCATCTACATGAGTAGATCTATGACTTTAAAAAGAGCTCAAGAGCCTTCAGGGCTGTGAAGTAGGAGGCAAGAGACTAGGACTAGCTAGCAGCTAGCTTTTGGGTGGGAATGGGAACAGGGCAGCTTGCGAACCTCCCTGGCAGCTCCCTGTTGGACTATCATGTAGCCCTCTGCTCTCCTTCCCTTCTCCCATCCCCTTGGAAGGGGGAAAGGACAAAGACTTAAGGCACCCCTGGCTTGGTTTGTGGCACCCCTTATTCAGCTCAAGGCACCCTTTGGAAAATTCCATCTTTTACTTATCACTCATTTTTTGACTACAGAAAAAAAATGGAGCAGTTTTTCTATTGCAGAGAAGTCATAAAAGACCACAACAAGACAGAATGTTTTAAAACAGTGTGAATTTCTAGCTGAAAACTCTAGGTTTATCTTGTGATTCATGTTTGCATGCCCAAGAGTGCTAACATTGCAAAGCATCTTGCAGCACTCTTGAAAAGATCTCAAGGCATGCCAGGATGCTGCTAGCGCTTCCCCTGGTTGAGAATCAGTGGTTTAAGGTTTGGCCACACATGGAATTTTTCTTGGCAAGACAGGGAAGTTGCTGTTTGAAATGGCTGCTTTTTGAGAGACAACTTCTTTGTCATGGATCTGCCATTTTTGTGGCCGGTCAGCCATTTTTCTCCCAGGAAAAATTCCTTTAATATCTTACCTGTTACCATTAGTTGCACTTAGTCTGCAAAAAATGTAACAGTTGTCAGGCCATGGGATTCCCAGCCAGCCAGAGTAAGAAGAATCTGTTCATTAAATGAAAGCCTCTTGTACCGTGTGGGAGGGCAGGAGGGCTGTGCAGTTGGTTTCATGTTTATTGAGAGGGAATGCATCTTTCAAGAGTTTGGCCAGTGCTGTTTTATATAACTGCTTGACTGTTTTTTCAACTTCATGTGGATTGCACAGGTCTCTCCTCTGGCTGCTTATCTGCAGAACTGTTGAGCAATGTGCTTGCAGCAAGCATGGCTGTCTCCACTTCTGACCTACGCTCTCAGCATCCTATCTGATAGGAATTTCAGAAGTGCCTGTTACATTTAGAAGCCCAAGTTGGTGAGATTTAGGCTTGTAACTGTTAGGCACTTTTGAAAATCCCACTCCTCACCTCTCTGCAGTTAACAAGGACAGTTTAATATGTAACAAATAATTTGTAATGGCATTTGGATTGCCTTTCAGGGGGAGTCGAGTAGAAAGCTACAGCTTGAGCCTTTTTAAATAGTCGTTTAGGGGGAGAGGCTGTTAAGGCTATAAAGAATGCTTGCTGGAGAGAGGTGCTGAAGTTGAGGAGTCTTGTTGGTGCTGAACATGTGACTAGCAAATGCTGAGAGGACTAGGTTGTTGGTGAGTAGCTGTGATAGGACAGAGTGGTCATTTTTGCTCTGCTCATGAATGGATATATTCTTACTGCTAAACTACCTTTCCTGTCTGTCTGAATGATGGCCACAGTATACTTATTCCTTTGTGAACAAGAAGCATCTTTAAGTAATATGGAAGCCTGTAATTAGTTGTAATAATTGCAGCTATTATTTACAGCCATTTTTTATTACAATGTAGTTATAATTAATGTGTTTCTTAAGGTACACTTTGCTTAGCTGATTCAAAGAGAATAATGTCTAGGAGAAGGAAGCAGTAATTATCTCATTAAATACAACAAAAACAGCAATAATAATAACACCAATAAAAGATTGTGATTAAGTGGAAAGTTAGAGAATGCAAAGATGGATGCTTGCTAGCTTGAAGAAGAATAACATTTTTGGTATTCTTTTAATAAAAATAGCAAATTGAAGAACCTTGCACAAGCATTATGGACACACATTGTTAATCAATAGTCTGGAGAGACCAAAGGGCAACAGTGAACAAAATTATAAGGAAACCTGAAATGGAATAGAAATGAAAGTCTAGGAGATATTGGTCAGAGCTTTAAGAGAACCAGAAGAGGGAGCCTTTGAACCTCTGACAATTAGCAACACTAAAAGGAGCCTGGAGAGGGACCTGACTGTAGAAAAAGGAAAGGTCGATATTGCAATGCATTAATAATACTGTATACATCCAGTCCTCGATATGGTCTCTCATCAGCACTCTGGTGATTTAGAAGGAAATCATGTGATGTGATACACAGTTGGGCTTGTATTAGTCCACCCTCTATAATGTGATACTACTGCTTGTAGAGTTGTAGTGTAATCTGGAAAAAAAATCTTTTCTCTTTTATTTTTCTTCCTTCAGCTTAATGTGGCAATAAGGTCATTGTTGCAGAATCTCAAGGAAAAGATCAACCGTCTGAAGGACTTACTGCTTCAAGCTGTATCAACACACCAAATGTATCCATGTAAACAGTATTGCAGCGTTCTTTCCAGTATCTTACGAGTGGGTAGAAAAACAGGCTTTTATGGGAAGGAAGTGGCTCCACAATCTTTTTTTTTCTTTTTTTTCCTTTTTCTCTCTCCCCCTCCTTTTCCCCTCCCACCTCCCCACGCACAGTTTGAGGAAGACCTAATTACTAGTTGTTGCTGGCAATCTTGACTTCTGTTTCAAGTACTTATTTTAAGTATTGTACAGTTCCCAGTGGTGAAATCCTGTTGACGCTGATATTCTTGGTTTGAGACATTGTTTGCTTGTAGGTTTTCTCAGGTTCACTTTTTTCTGTTTAAAAAGACATTTCAGGTTGCTGTACTATTGGCACCTTATGAGAAGCCAGTGTAGAAAAGTGGGTTCCTTCTGCTTCATGGGGTAGGGAGAATTTAAGGTCTCTGTATGAACAGGTATGTCCATCTCCCTGAAGAAACACAAAAAACTACATCCATTAAAAAAAAAAAAAAACCTCAGCAGCAACTTTGCTCAAATACATCACTAATGTGGAGGAAACTGCTATGGACAAAATATAGGGTCATAGAGTAGCTTCTCAGACAAATGATAAAGAAGGTGTGGGTGGGTAAAATGTAATTTCATGGCTATCTAACTTCCCTCGTTCTTCTGTGCTTTGGAATGCATGTTATGACCTAGTTGTCTTTCCTTTTCTTTCTGCACACTTGTGTAACGGGGACATGTAACAGCAGCCAGGTGTTTGAAAGTATCCCATGCTGGTACAGAGGATCAGAAATGCATGCATGAGGCCACATTCATTTTAGTGACTCCCTGCAGTTTAGTGGAGGCATGCTTGATATAAGTTGTAGAAAGATGCTTCAACTTGGGTGTCTCAGCACCCAAAAAAAAAAATTTGTGCCTGGTGTCAGCAGAGCAATTCAAGTATATAGATGCCTTGACTCTGTGCAGTCAGTAGAAAGATTGAGTTGTGTAGGGATTTAAATTCTTATTTGCAGGGGGAGACCTTATAAATCCTACTGTTTTAACTGTAATTAAGTTCAGGCTTACTGCAGTGTAAATCTTTCCTAAACATGAACTTCCATAATGCTGCACTGAGTGGAGTATGTAAAATTTTCTTTTCAAATGACTCCCATGGAGCAGATAAATGCCACTGCTATGTAAGAAAGCAAATATAAGTTGTTATGGCTATGTACATGCTTACATTGCAGTTAAACTTTTTTTTTTTTTTTTAGGAAAAGGACTAATAGTTGTTTTTAAGGGTTACCTCTAAGTTTATTTAAAAAAAAAACCCAAACAACCTCTAAAAATGGCAGTACTCCAGCAACCTTGTCATTCAGACTCACTGAATTAATTGATTATTTTTTTAAAGCAACAAGCCCTGTTTCAGCTGCTATTGAGGAGTTCTTGTGATGTACATGGAAATACATTATTAAACACATCATTTAAATACATTTGTTTTGACTGAATTCTGCAGAAGACTTCTTACTAGATCCATGTTATGAGCCTCACCCTTAGTAAAATAATAAATGTGCTAAGTGCCAGGCTTAATCCAACATATAAAGTCAATTTTGTGGCCATTGTTTATATTGTAATTTCGATTAAAAATAAAAATGTGCTATGCCTTGTATAATGAGTGCAGCAGAAACTTTATCCTTATCTTGTTGAGTTTAGTATATCCAACTTACTATTACATGCTAAGATTCTAGAACTAATAATGTTTCTGTGCGTGTTAAATACAGCTCTTTAAATGAGACTCTCTTAAATGAGAGAGCCTGAGAAGAATGTCGTATGCATGTTTTGAGTGATTTTATTTTGTGCAAAAAAACTCTGAAACCATCCCTCCCCAAGAAATTTGAGCTTTCTAGATCACATTCTCAAGATGCAGCCTTTCTTTAAGGAACCATAAGTAACAAATATGCTTATGACAAGTGACGATGAGTGGAGATACTCCTCTGCTATGTAGGTGTGAAAAAGGTATGCCAGGTGTCTTAAGAGTCCTGAGACCTGACTATCAGGTATGAAAAAGAGTTGCAACTCTTGTTCACATGAAGTGGAGTCTTCTTTTTCAGGCTGTTTTACTCTATTGTTCTTTGAAGATTCTCATTTTCTGACTTTTTTAATATTACTGTAACATCTGACTTCTGTGCATATTGCTATTAATACTGAAAATAAAAACTTTAAGTCCTATTTTATTTCTGTGTTTGGACCTTAACCATATGGCTCCAGAACTCAGCTGGAGGGGGATAGAAGGCAAAGCTTACTGGATGACCTTCTCACAAGGCAAAGACAACTTCAAGCATCCTATAAGAATGATGGTACAGAAACAGATGTGATAAGGTAGGATACTGCCACCTTCAAGGAGCAGTCTGGGGATGTTTTTTGAATATGAACACAGTACTTTGAATGCTTCTCTTGATTTTTGTTTTCATCCATGTATATAGCAAACTACAGCTTGATTTACTGAGGCATGACAGTTTATGCCTTTATTATTTTGTGTCATTTTAACATGCACATCCTCTGGGAGGGTGGGGGAATGAAAGATTACTTAGTTTCAAGGTGGAAAATGAGTATTGTCTGATAGGGATTTTACACTTCTATTTTTGTGGTTTTCTAGAATTTGACTAGATCTCTTACATGAGCCATATATATTGTTCCTAGTCCATAGGCTTTGATTTATCTGAAATAAAAATGTTAAGTCTAATTAAAACATTTTGTTTCGCTCCAAGGTATTTCTTTGTTGTATACTACCTTCTATCTCTAGCAAACAGTGAGTGGATTTTAGTTTTCATCTAGGATAGATCAGTATCTATCAAGGTTGATGTACTATGGTAAATCATCCCTGGGGATAGGTAGGTATGATTATGAATATGTTTAGTATTAATTAATATATAATACTTGACTGGAGTAGCTTTTAGAGTAAAGTGAATAGCTATAACATGTAAGCTCTCACCTGTTGTAATTGTACCTCATTGCTGGTGTATTAACTCTGACATGGACTTTCTTTTGTCATTCAGACTTACTGAAGAAATAGGTTCTCACTTGAATTATTTTCAGAGTACTGCATGTATAGCCCTTCATAGCCAGGCAGAGTAACTGCCAGTTAATAGCTAGCCTGAAAATTGGTGTCTCCTGCAGTTCTTTCCTTTACAGACTCCTTCTGTCAACTAGGAAAGTTACATCTGGAATCTCTACTAGTTCTCCCTGTTCTTGAAAATAACACCTCGCTTGTGGGCCTTAACTGATTTGGAAAAAAAACTAGAACTTTTCCTTCTACTGTGAAATTTAGGATTGTCACCTAGGTTCACATGAGATATTCGTAGCAGTCCATAAATTGAGGAGCAGCTGAGTTGCACAGAACACACGTGTCCTTGAATTATGAAACAGCTCATGGGTAGAAACTAAATTTAGAGAGGGTTATAATAAAAAGTCTTAAAATCCTAAATGTTTACAAACCTTATACTCTCAACTCAGAGCAGAATGCAATATTGGAGGAGCTGTTTTTAGTAACCTGCCACCGGTCTTTTCAGTTTCACCTATTTCCCGTAGTATACTAATATGAGCCTTTGTCTTCAAAATGCTGCTCTTTCCTACTTGATTGATTTGTGGTGTGATGGAACCACCACGTTTTTGGTAGCTTGAAACTACCCATAACCCCATGTGCCTGTTGCTAAGAAACTCATACAAAATGCTTTAATTTGAAGAGCTTTTCTATCTGTCTTGAAAGACTATCAGTTTTTAAAAAATACTGCATGAGGAAACTATCATTCCCCACTCCTTTTTTAAGACTGAGGGGTAAACTACACTGTTGCTGCTTTATGCTATAAGTTAGCCTGAGCCGTTTCAACATTTCAATGAAATGTCTCCAAGGATTGCTTCAGAAGCGTTTTGGCGATTTACTGTGTGATGCATTTGATCACAATCACTGTTGCAACAGCATTCAAGTACAAAGTTAAGAGGCATTGTACTTCTCTGGATTCAGATTTTCAAATGGGGTGCAAAGCCCATTTGGGAGGAGGGGGTTAGGACAATGATAACCTTAGTGCTTTGGCCAAAGTCCAACATGGGCAATTGCATACACCCTTTCTAAATTTCCCTTGTAACTTTAGTTGGATAATTTATCTTTTACAGTAACGTAAGACAGAAGTAGAATCGTTGTAGAGCTTGCGATGTTTCCTTGGCCAGTGCATAGTCTGGATTTCAATTGAAGCTGGTAAATTCTTTTGTAATGAAAGGACCTCCTATATGTATATGTGCAGTCTTTAAAAATATAAACATAACTGCATGGGCATATGAACCTACATAACTAATGCAACATCAATATAATAAACGTTAACTGACACTAGACCCTTCAGACAAGGATTTAAATACATTTGTGAGATGAAAACAGCGTGACTGTGAGACTCCTAGTAGTGCTTAACCCATGACTGGGTTGCAGACATCTGATATGTGCTAAATCCAGTCCCTGTAGAGACAAGCTTGCCTGCGTACAGCTTTGGTTTTGAATATATACATCAGTCCATTTGTACATGCCCTGATGTTGAAGCATCGTATTCCCTGTGGTGCTTTGTTGGCTATTGTCATTGTGAGAGAAGACTTACATATTTTGAAGCCCTCTGTGCTTATGAAGAAAGGAGTGATTCCTTTTGGTGAAGAGCTTTAAAGAGTTTTTTATTTTCTTTTCCCCCCCTGGTATGAGTATTTGTTCTCAAAAGTATGCAGAAGTCATGTAGGAAGCTAAAGAAAGGTGTCAGCTTAAAAAAATTGCATTTTCAAATGAGTGTTGCTAGCTACTGTTAAACATAACATCTGTACTTAATAATTAATATTAGTAGTTAGTAAGTTGGAATTGATAGTTTCTCTCCTGTTCAAGTAGCAGTTACTATAAGGTCACACTCTGGTGTGCTGTTTTGAAAGGCAGTTCACAAGGGTGGATTTGGAGGGGGTGCAGCAGCATGGTTGAATCCTCCCCTCCCACCCCCCCCTCTTTGTACATCA